CGGATGGCCGAGCTCCTCACCCTATCTCTAAGGGAGTGCCCAGCCACCCTACGGAGGAAGCTCATTTCAGCCGCTTGTATCCAGGATCTCGTTCTTTCGGTCATGACCCAAAGTTCATGGCCATAGGCGAGGGCAGGAACGCAGACCGACCGGCAAATCGAGAGCCCCACTTTTCGGCTCAGCTCTCTCTCCACCACAACAGACCGGCACAACGCCCCCATCACTGCGGCAGCCGCACCGATCCGTCCGCCAATCTCCCGCTCCACTTCTCCCCAACTCATGAACAAGACCCCGAGATACTTAAACTCCTCCACTTGAGGCAGGAACTCCCCTCCAACCTGAAGAGGACAAGCCACCCTTATATATAATTTATTTTTATATAATCTAAAGTTTTTTAATCTAAAGTATCACGAGAACATAAGGACGTGGTTCCCAACCAGAAGAATGCAGCTCTCATGCTCGAGTGGCTGATTAGCTCATTTTAGGTTGCATTCATGACATCGAGGTGATAAGTTTAAAACTTCATTCTAACGATGGACCCAGCTCACAGAATGAGACGAAACTGAGTTCACAAGCACAAACTGAAGCAAGATTTTACATTAGTAAAGAGTAAAGGTTTTACAAAATTGCAAACATGTTCTGTCCCAGATACTTGCTTTGGCAGGGTTTTTAATACTAAACACAAGGAAACTACAGGAGAAATCGCACAATGAGCAAGACATGGAGGATGGCAGTTAACAGGAGGAACCAACAAAAAACAATGAAAACCACAGAGCTTACAGTGGCTTGTAAACGTATTCACACCCCTTGAACTTTTCCACATATTGTCACATTACAACCACAAACATAAATATATTTTATTGGAATTTTATGTCAAAGACCAACACAAAGTGGTATACAATTGTGAAGTGGAAAGAACATTATAAATGATTTAAAACATTTTTTACAAATCAAAAACTGAAAAGTGGGGTGTGCAAAAGTATTATGCCCCCTTTACTCTGAGTGCAACCAATTGCCTTCAGAAGTTGCCTGATGATTGCTAAAGACTAAATAGAGCCCACCTGTATGTAATCTAATCTCAGTACAAATACAGCTGCTCTGTGACGGCCTCAGAGGTTTGTTCAGAGAATATTGGGGAGCAAACAGCATTATGAAGTCCAAGGAACACACCAGACAGGTCAGGGATAAAGTTGTGGAGAAGTATAAAGCAGGCTTAGGCTATAGAAAGATTTTCCAAGCTTCGAACATCTCACAGAGCACTGTTCAATCCATCATCCAGAAATGGAAAGAGTTTGGCAGAACTGTAAACCTACCAAGAAAAGGTCGTCCACCTAAACTTACAGGCCAAACCATGAGAGCACTGATCAGAGATGCAGCCAAGAGACCCATGGTGACTCTGGATGAACTGCAGAGATCCACAGCTCAGGTGGGGGAATCTGTCCACAGGACAACTATTAGTCGTGCACTGCACAAATGTGGTCTTTATGAAAGAGTGCCAAGAAGAAAGCCATTGTTAAAAGAAAACCATAAGAAGTCCCGTTTGCAGTTTACCAGAAGCCATGTTGGGGACACAGCAAACATGTGGAGGAAGGTGCTTTGGTCAGACGAGACCAAAATATTACTTTCTGGCCAAAATGCAAAACAGTATCTGTGGCAGAGAACTAACACTACACACTACCATGAACACACCATCCCCCCTGTCAAATATGATGGTGGTAGCATCATGCTCTGGGGGTGTTTTCTTCAGCAGGGACAGGGAAGGTGGTCAGAGTTGATGGGAAGATGGATGGAGCCAAATACAGGGCAATCATGGAAGAAAACCTGTTGGAGTCTGCAAAAGACTTGAGACTGGGGCGTAGGTTCACCTTCCAGCAGGACAACGACCCTAAACATAAAGCCAGGGCTACAATGGAATGGTTTAAAACAAAACATATTCATGTGTTAGAATGGGCCAGTCAAAGTCCAGCCCTAAACCCAATCGAGAATATTTGGCAAGATCTGAAAACTGCTGTTCACACACGCTCTCCATCTAATCTGACTGAGGTGGAGCTGTTTTGCACAGAAGAATGGGCAAAAATTTCAGTCACTAGATGTGTAAAGCTGGTAGAGATATACCCTAAAAGACTTTCAGCTGTAATTGTAGCACAAGGTGGCTCCACAATGTATTGATTCAGGGGGGTTGAATACTTTTACACAATGCCTTTGTCAGTTTTTTATTTGTAAAAAAAAAAAAAAGAAATCGTGTATAATTTTCTTTCCACTTCACAATTCTATAATACTTTGCATTGGTCTTTCACATAAAATTCCAATAAAATATATTTATGTTTTTGGCTGTAATGTGACAATATGTGGAAAAGTTCACCACTGTTAAAGATGTGTAAAAAGCCTTTGGAAAAAATTTATCCTTTATTGAAGTAACACAATGTCAAACTCAACCTTTAGCTTTTTGATATTCATTATTCCACGTTCACAAATCATATTTTTTTTAATCATTGGTGCTACACTTACTATTTGCTACCCTGGCATTAATAATTGGCTAATTTTACATTGCTGGAGCACACAGAGAGGAATCGTTAACTATTCCCCTTTACACAATCTCTCTAGACATCCCAGTGTCCTGGTTCCTCTTCTGTGTTCTCTTCAGCTCACCCCACAGGCTTTCTGTAGGATTTGGGTCTGGAGGTCCAATGGAAGAAGGTTGATGTTTTTGTCTGTTGAACCATTTCTGTGTTGATTTAGCCAGGTGTTTTATATAATTATCTTGCAGAAGCACCCAATGACGACCCATTTTCAGTTGGTGGCATTTGCCATTGTGTTTTTATTTAAAAGCCTTCAATATTGTTGTGACAGCAGAAGGGGCTGTGCTTTTGTATATTTAAAAATTTTTTTTTTTTTGTGAAAGACAAACCCTGTTGTTTTACCTGTGTATTTCCTCCCAGGTAGTCTATGCTCCGTATGGCCTGGAGGAGCTCCGCTCCACTGAGGTGACTCCCCAGAGGGATCTCCAACCGAGGTGTGTCACTGTACTGGACCACGGCCACCTATAGCAGAAACAGGTCCAATTAATTCCTTTTCAAAGCAGGTTTTCACTACAATTTAGCCTAGAAGAAACTTAGAACACTTTCACGATCCATTGGTGTTTGGGTTTGACTTTTTTTGTGTGTGTATTTTAAATATTTCCTTGCGGTTTTTATTCAGTTTATTTCTTTGTACTCTTTATTGTTAGTGAGGTCTTATCTTCTTAGTTTATTTCCCTATGTTAGGTGTTTTATTATTATTATTATTATTTTGGCACTAGAGGCCTTTGTTTTTGATAGTAGGTAGACAGGAAAGAGGGGCAAAGAGAGAGGGAGACATTCGGCAAAGGTCGCCGGGTCCGGGACTCGAACCCTGGACAGCCGCTTCGAGGACTATAGCCTCTATATGTGGTCACGCGCTTAACCCCTACACCAACGTCGCGCCCAGGTGTTTTATTATTACTTCATTCTTTTGTATTTTATTTATTCCTTATTAGATTTCTGTTAGGTACTTCCTTAGATTTCTTTTGTTTCTGTTCAGCTCTGTTCTGGTTAGTTAGTCTCCCTCCTTCAGCCGCCCTGCCCTCACTCTGCCTCAGCTGCTCCTCATTTCCTCTGATTAGCTCCTCTGGTTTATTGGTCATCTTCTACCTCTGCCTTAGTATATAAACTTACTGGTTCTCTTTGTTCTCTGCTGGATTCTTCTGTTTACCTGCCGTTCCATGCCCGTTCTAGTTTCTATGCTTTATGTCTCCCATGTCTCCATGTGCAAGACCATTTTGCAAATTCGCTTTACTTTTTCATTAAGGTACTCAATTTCACTACAGTTCATTTCTGCATTTGAGTCCTCATAAATCTGATTCATGATAAACACCTTGATTTTTTCTTTTTAAATTCTTACAACTAGTCAAATAATATAATCTCCTCTGAACTGTGTTAAAAAAATGACAAGATTTCACTTTTCAGATCTAATATAATGTGATTTAGATTTACCTGTGTATAGTTAGGGCTGATGTCAAACTGACTGCTGATGTTGATGAGCCATTGCTTGGCTGTGTCAAAGTCCGCCAGGCCAACACTCCAAGAACCATCAACAATATACACCAGGTCATTTACAGCAGTGCTGCACCCTGTGCACACATAGAAGGACATATAAAACAAAATTAACCAAATTAATTCAAAGCTTTCTTTAATAGAAATTACTGTTTTTATACTATTTTCCCCTTCAAATGCTTTATTAATACAGTGTGTTTCTTTATTTCATTATTTGTAGCAACTTCATCCATACCTGCTCGAACATCTTCACCCTCCACAGCGTCCACTGTGGTCAAAAGCAACATTACACTCCATACTGGCCACTGCGACATGTTTCTATAGAGTGGTGTTCTTCTTCTGCCCAATCCAACCTGTTTTAAACACAGACAAAATCTATTTTAGCAAACTCTTAACCTGTCAAACACTTTGGTAGAACACATGTTGACAAGAACTCCGAAATTCATCAACATCAGTTCTGTTTAATTCTGCCTCATATGGAATGATGATGTTCTTCCGCTTCTTCTGACTGAGAATCTACACCAGTGTTCGGGTAAATATGAACACCATCAAATCCCTTAGCTGTCAGAAACTTATAGATCCCAAACCCTTTCAAGTTTTGCGAATTCAGACATATTTTCTTGTTGCCATCACAAGCTTTGCATTCTGGCAAGTCATTGATGACAGGACATGTCTACTAATGAATTTGAGCCTATTTTAGTGTTTAGTATTGTTACTACCATTGTTTGTTTCACAACAAGAAAGTAGAAAAAACCGTGCCCCACTCACGTGAGAAGAAATTAGCTGGAATGCTTTAGAACAATCCAGTAACCATCAAGGCCTATCATAAACTGGAGGATATCGTGTCACCAGTTTAATTTTGCACAGTTTAGCAAGTTTAACATCAAATGGACTGAGGGGGTACAGATCAAGAAAGAAGCCCTTGTCCATCTCCAAGCACCAATGAAAGTTACTCAAAATGGGTAGAAGTTAAAGATGCTTCCTGCAGAAGCAGATTTCAGGGTTTTTATTGCAACATCCACAATATACCTTCTAAAAAAGATCGGATTACAGGTTTCCCTCTCCACCAAGTTCCTGTCCACTGTAGTGGAAAGAAGCAGTGATTGGTTGTTTTATTAAAGAAAGCACATCACATGGGCTGTAAAATTGAATAGAAGGGTCAAACGTTTAGGATATTCACCTGGAATACCAATTAGCACCCTTTAATTCTCTAGAGATGTCAGGGGCTAATCAACAAAACATCAATGAAGGAGGGTTTCCACCTCATGACTCAAATTAAGCATCTAACTTACTGTATTTTAGAGCTAATCCACTGGGAATTCTAAGAATACTGACTTATTATGAGTATTGAAACATATAGAAACTATCCAGCGCTTTATACTAGAGTCACATTTACCAAATAGCACTCACTAAATGACACACATATGCAGATCAGTTAGGAGTTAGGAGTTAGGTGCCTTGCCCAGGGCGCGTCGACATGTGACAGGAGAAAGCTAGAATCAAACCTACAAGATGACTACTCTTTCCACTGAGCCACAGAATTCTTCAACTTCACTTCTAATCAGCAGCTAGAAGAGTAAAACAGACCTAGGTGATCTGAAAGAAGAATGGTCCTTAAATGGATAAAATAGACAATGGGGCTTCTGGATCGGCCCCAACCTCAGGCCTAACGAAAAGTTGATGACTATGCTTAAAGTCAAGTTTGTGCCAGGAAATCAAAAAAATAAAAGTGTTACCCTATTTCTGATAAGAGTCATCAAATATTCATCCAGAATTAGATCAGACGCTTGTTACAAACAATGTGTGCTTTGTCTCTATATTGAATGTAGAAGGTTCACATTAAATTCAGATTTGTCCACCCAGTCGTTTTCCTTCATAAACTTGCTTGTATGATCATTCCACTCTGAATCCAATCTGGATTTAAAGCGCAGATTGATGACAGAACTTTAAATTTCTATTTTGTTCAAAAGTGCACTATATCCAGACATTTCTTGACCTAGCTGAAACAATAAGTGAGTAAGAAAAAACAAGCTGAGCCAGTGAAAGAGCCCACAAGAGAGAGTGCAGCAGCATAATGAAGCTAAAATAAATACCCATAATTCACTCTCTGAAGTCAGTTCAGTTATTTTTCACAGGACTTCACATACAGCCAACAGAAATATAAACATGAAAAGAAGCTTTTTTTCCCTTCCCAGTCATTGTAATCATAAACATGTAAAACTGCCTTTGATTTGTTTTATTTTTTTTACTGTGAAACAAACTGACAATAGTTGTTTAATTTTCTTTTCTGTTGGCTTTAAAATTGCCGCAGTTCAACCGCACCTGCTTGGAGACAAATGTTGCACCTGTGACAGCTACTGTGCTCTGACATAACAGTGGCAACATGAGAACTGTAAAGGGGGAAGGTTGGGAAAAGAAAAATTTCTTTTGTTATAACAAACTATGTCCAATCGGTACATTCTTTTCTTCTTTGCTGTCCACACTCTCCACCCCACCCCACCCGCTACCCCACCCACATGTGTCATGTGGTACATAATAGCCCAGTAGTGCATTTTCTGCAGAGCACACACGGTTCCACCAACCGCAAGGACAGGCCAGAGAAAATAACAGTGCGAGGACCATGCTGGATGGGAAGACGCAAACATAAACAAGGCAGTGAAGGTTGAAGTGTGGTGGCAGAGAACAAACCGTCAATGAGCTGAGGAGAGTAGAACCTCTTTCCCGTAATCCATTTTTTCTGTCTGCGCGTAACGTGTTAAGAAAAAAACACATTGCATCAAGATTCACTTTCATTTTTGTTTCAGTTAAAGAAATTAGAAAAGTTAAACACTGTTTTTATGTCATTTTATGAAAGGCATTGGATCTAAAAAGTAAATCCCTCCGTTAAAAAAGGGAGAAATAGAAAATGCTTGATTCCAAAAGTTTTCCACGTATATCATGTATCTGTACACCCTTACAGAAACATTTTGTTGAAGCACCTTTTGAGTCAATTACAGCACTCATTCTGCTTGGTTAGGAGTATATTAGCATTCCCTACCTATCCATCCAACCATTCCAGATGCTCTATCATTAATGGCAGTATTTGCCCATTCCATCTCCTCCAAATCTATTGGATTAAGAGGACATTCTTTTGTTGACTTTGATGTATATTTGGACTCACCTAAAAAATAAAGTCCCTCTCCATCTTTAGATTTCTTGCAGACACCTAAAGGTTTGGGGTCAGAGGTGACTGGTATTTGAAACTACTGGTATTACAAAAGCCTCTTTTTCATCCAAACAAAAGTAGCCCCAGAGTGTGATGCTGCCACCACTGTGTTTTACCGTGGCTTTAGTGTTATTCTAATTGATCTTCAGTGCCTTGCTGGTGGTGATGATCCTAACTGACCTAAAACAGGAAAACTTAGATTTGATGTTGTGTGCTGTTAAACTGTGGATGAAAATATCTGGTTTTTACTGTTTACATCAGTAACCCTTCTGGACATTATTTTGTGTTTTTTGAACACAAAAACACTGATGTAACTGTCTTGATGTGTGTGTGCGTGCGTGCGTGCGTGCGTTCCGTGTGTGTAGGAATCCTTTTAAAATGGTTTATCGTTTTCCGCAGGGTGAAGATATCTACACATTTTCATATTTAGAATGGGAAAAGAATAACCACCTTTTTAAAAAGTTTGTTCTGATCAGGTTTTATAAAGAAACACTTTTAATTACTGAAACTGGCATTTAAGGAGTTTCAGATAATATGTGAATACGTATGCTGATGCCTGAAGTTAATAATGGCATTTATAAAAAGAAATGGCAAAACATGTTGGTACACCATATTTCTACTATAACCCTAAAAGAACATTTTTGTGTCAGAGGGACACAGATGGAGCACAACATAAAATTAACCTAGAGGGCTCAAGGTGGATAAAGTTTAAAATAATTACAATGACCTTATTCTTTTTTATTTCACAAAAACCTGACACTTTAACAAAGATCTTAACACTTTTTCCCCATGTACTAAATAAGGAAACATAAAATGAAGAAGTTGAGGAGAACTGTACATGTATACAGTAAAGTGAAATCCAAGGAATTAAAAAAAAAAAGTGAAATTTTAGGAATTAGAAATTTTAAGGAAATCCATTTCTATTACATTTTGGTAACATACCCTGTCACTATAAACGTTAAAACTAAAACATTTGGTTAACCATTTAGCAATACTTTCTTTCCAGCTATTTAAACACCTGTTAACATTTTTTTAATAAACTTTTTGTGATGTTGGTAGTAATTCTAAAAAGAAATTGTAATTTTCTGGGAATTTCCTAAATATAATTTATATGTACATTAAGATGTATAGATCCCAACACTGCACATGTTGAACACCATAGGTAATTTCTGTAAGCTGACAGTTT